AGGGTGATTTGAATGAACGAACAGGAAAAGTGGTTACGACAACTGAATCAGCACCTTTCCACCGGGATAGAATGATAAGATTTTCCGATTTAAACTCCAGTCTCCACTAATTAAATTTTTCTCTTATGCACGTATGAGCTAATGAAGCCTACCTACGGAATAATTATTGTACTATTGCTGTCGGTTCATTTAACATTTGCAGCAGAGGTTGACTTCAGAATGTACCATTTGTTTCTTATGGTGCTGACCTTGATCCTTCTCTTCTCACTTCCTGTCATTCAGAGAATCTGGAGCAAAGGGCAAAGCTAAACAGGACAAACATAGCAAATTGAGACTGATCACTGCAACAAAATATTTAAGGAACATTTTGTTTAGCAAAGTTTTTCCTCCCCCTTGACTTTTTAAAAGAAGTTATCTGCACTGTGTTGTTACTTTTCAGGTTTTTGCCTATGCGTGTGGCTGTACATGTGCCTGCCTTACGTGTGTGTGTTTGCATATGTGTTTGCACATTCACATGTTCATGAAGGTGAGGAACACCAGGGCCACAAATTTGAATCAGTTTCCATTTCACTTGCCTTCTGTCAGTATTAAACATTAATGGCACTTTCAGCCCAATTTCATTTTATGTTCCCCCCTCAGAGCTGGTGAAGAAATATTCAAGGGCACAACGAGTCCTAGAGGCAAATCCACTGAACCACCAAGCCATGAGGGGATTTTTGTCAATTTTCTCCCCCATTCTCTACTGAACGTGCTGACTCTTGCTGGAATATGGAATTGTAGACTGGAGCTACCCCTAACCCTAATTGCTTCCACACTGTTTCTTAAATTGAATTCAATGAGAGTTCCCAACCTGAGTGAATCACCCAGTCTCACTTTCTCTGTTCTGCATTTTTTATCAGTATTACCGAGCAGTGCAGATGAGCTTGTTCCCTTCTTCCAAACAAATCAAAGGAAAATTATTTATTTAATCAGTAAGTAAAGGCAAGAATATAGAATATACCAAACAATGTTTGGAGAGCAGTTATCAACTAAGCATCTAATACTACTTTCGTCAACTTTGTCACTTATTCAACTGGGTCAGCTGCTTCAGCACTGATATGCATTAAACTAAAATATTGGCACAAATGACTGACTTACATCACACGAATGACTGACATACATCCAACAAAAATCTGAAAAATGCAGCATCAAAGTCAAAATTCTTATGCTTTGGATGTGAATGACTTAATGGCAATAAGCAACTGGTGCACAAACAGCAACAAGCATTCTGTGCACAAAAGATTTTAAGGAACCATTCAAAACTACGGCCAACATTTTCTCCTCAGAAATATGCGTGTTATAGCTCAACGTTGCACTGAAGAAAATATTCATAGCTTTAAATTATGGGTTTGCTTAAATTGATTCTAGTTTTGTTCTTTACAGTTCATTCTGTACTTTGGTTATGGTGATCTTTTGATAACCTCACTTTGATTTTCTCATCATCTGATTCTTGGTGGTTTACCTGCTGCCATAAAGAACAAAGAACATCTGACTTTAAATTTATTTTAAATGGTTTCACTATATTGAAAGTTCAATTTCATTGTCAGCTCAATTCTTATCCAAGGGGCAGTGGAAGTAGGATACCTATGTATAGATGTTTGCCTCTGCATTTGAGGTTCAATAGAAGCTAATGACAATGAATGTTCTGCAATACTAGGAAACTGCAGTGTTATCATAACTCTACAGACCCAACATCAATCCATCATGAATATTTGTGGGACTGGAACACATCCAAAGAGATGCACAGAGGAAAATGTTAAACATTATGCCTGTGGTAATCTATGTAGGGATGACCAATAGAACCAGCCATCAACTAGGTCCAAGGGAGAGGAGAACCATAACATTCTATTCACTGCATTTGCAGTCTAAATATCATTGAGTAACCATAACTAAGGCTGAAATATTAACATTATGTGTTACTCTAACTTGCAAAACTAACCTATTGTGAAATTGTTCTCTGATCTTGCCATCTGCCATTAATGCAGCTACATCTGGAGCTACAAGTATAACCAAAATATCAATAATATTTTATATTATGTCCAGGTAATAATAATAATATTCCTTGCCTTTGGTATAGCACCTTAGCACCTTGGAAGGTCACCTCAAAGTGCTTCACAGGAATTACTGTTAAATGGAGTGACTGTATTTCTAGGAAAACGAGGCAGCACAATTACACACAATTACAGATTTTTGTAGCCCACCTGAACAGGCAAACAGGACCTTGGTTTAACATCTCATTTGTTGTGCGTTACCTCCAACACCTCCACACCCTGAGCACTACATTGGATGTCAGCTTAGGTACACAACTCCAAATCCCAATGTGGGGAGCTTGAACCCTCAACTTTCTGACCCAGTCGCAAGAGTGCTACCACTAACCAAACTGACACACATTAGACAATCAAATTGATCAGACTGATAGACAAATTGATACTGATTAGATAGTCAAATCAAATCTTAGAAACCCACATATTACAACAGTCATGAAAGAACATCGGTTACTATAAGTAAAAAAAGCTCAAACCTCGAGATGACAAACTGATATAGAATTACTTCAATGACTATGAGATTGTAATTATTGCTTAAATTATGGAAGGGAGGGTTGGGGATTCTAATCATTAAAGTGAGGATCATTTACCCTGGTGAATGGACAACTTTTCAGTTTTGTTGCTCTGTGTCAGCAACAAGTACTTCCAGGTCAACTGCAGCAATGGCACCCAAAGGAATTGCTTTACTAGTCAGAATACTCTCAATGAAGAAATTCATTCCTGAACAGATCCGAAAGGAGTTGAAAATAGGATTAAACAGTAGATAACAAGATTCAAGTTGACTTCTGCTTCAATTTAAAAAAAACGGGAAGGTCACAAAGGATACGCCATCCAACATCAAACACAAATCATGAGAAATCAGTCACATTTGACAGTAGCAAAGCAGACATCCAGCATAAGCTAATTTTAGTGGACTGGTTACAAAATTCCTAGATTCAAGAAGGACAGAGACATAACAAGTACATACAATAATTCAAAAGCAAAAAATTGGAAAATTAGATTTTCTATAGCACTGATCCACAATCTGTCCATAATGGGAGCCTAAAAACTGTATCTCCATTGCTACAACCCACACATCTTATTATATTGGCTAAACTAAATGCCTTAAACCCAATTCCCGCAAACCCAAAGCCTTACCATTTAATTTGGTTATTCTATGAAGATCTGAACAAACCTGGTACTATATAAATGATTAGATTGGAGCTATCATTCAAACAGATAACTGAGCACAGTGGTCATTAAGTTACTGTAAACACGTTCTCTATGACCTTTGTGACACATTACCAATTCTATTGAGACCATGCATGTTTGAAACAGAGTATGGAAATAATTAAAGTAAGGACAATTTACTTTGAGGCTATATATAAACATCTTCAAAGTAAATTGTTACTCATTAAACAGTAAATGTTTACTCATTCACACACCCATCTTTTGAACCCATTTTCAGAGCCACACAGAAATATATCCAGGTAATATTTTATTATTTATAATAATCCTTGTATTTGATATGGTGCCTTTTCACATCTTCATGGCATCTCAAAGCACTTCACAAAATATATTATAAAGAAAAACCTTCTTGATATGATAACTAATAGTTTCATTAATATGCACAGTCCAACTGAAAGCACAACACATTGGTATAACAGTTTATGTTATTAGAATCATAGATCTTTTCCTCCCTCCTCTCCCAATGTCCTTCCCTCTCAATGTATTCCTGAACTCAGCCAAACCTATGTTTCAGAGGTTTCAAGATGAGTTGAGAAACTTCTACAGCAGGGAAATGAGGAAGATGGGTAGGAAATAGAGAACAGGAGGAGGACATTTGGCCCATTGGGCTCCCTCCAACACACAAGATTTAATGGCCCACATACTCTAATCTCCTTTGCTTCCACGATGTCCCCTAATATTTTTACTTCTCAGTCAAGCCAACTGCTCACCGGTCTTGAAGGGGACAGATCCTTTAACTGAGTTTTACTCAGCTCCCCCCCCACAAATATTTTCACCCTCTGCCACGCTCATCTCTCTCTTTCGGTGCCTGACTCAATAATAGCATTTTGTTCTCGGAGTCAGAAGGTTCTGCGTTCAAGCCACACATTGGGAATTTAAACTCATATAGTCTATGCTGAGATTCCAATGCAGTGGGGGGTGGGTGAGGGGGGGGGGGGGGGTGCTCAATTGTTGGAAGTGCCGTCCTTCGTTTGACACATTAAACAGAGATCTCATCTTTCTGTTGAAGTGGGCGCCAATGGTCCCCTGCTACAATTCCAAAAGAGAAGGGTGGTTCTCCTGGTGTCCTGGCCAACAATTCCCCAGATAAAATTGGTTGTTCACTTCCTGGTTGTTTGGGGGGTATTGCTGTGACCAAACCAGCTGTTGTATTCACCTACAAATTTACTACCCTTTACAATATATCCTGTGAAGCTCTTTGAGATGTCTTCCCAATGTATTAGATTCAACAACTGTTGCTGCAATGGCCCTTTTAATTCTAGACTGGAATGAGATACTGAAAACACCAAAAGGAGGAAACAAACGTACATACCGATGTATATCATTAACAAGTATGTTTCTATCTATAGTGCTGAGATAAGTATACAAGAGATCTGGGATATTTTCCATTGAATTTGGCCAAGTGCCCAAAACAATTTTTGCCTTGATATATGTTATGCTTCCCATCTAAAGAATCCTCCATTAAGCACTTAACCCTGCTCTGGATAATTGGTTTACTTATAAAAGGTGCTCCTAAAGTTGCTGTGAGTCATTCTACAATCATATCCTTGAAGCAATAATGAGATGCGAGTTGTGTTTTTTTTTATAAAAGAAAAATACATAATCACAGTCAATCAAATGCCAACAGACACATTTATCACAACCTGGTAAAATGGCTGAATAAGTCTTTGCTAAAGGTCAGGACTGTACCTTTGCACATTTGCTCAGGGCACTGTCAATCAAATCTCATTGAAGCCCTGTGCAGGACCCCATCGCTTATCCATCAAAGCCTAGTGCAGTGATCCCTGGTCAGTGCTCCCCACAGTCCCTTCTGAATTATTGACTGACTCGCCTTGTGGAAGCGCTCTGTATCCTGTTCCCCTGCTGATACTGTGCAGTTTCTCCAGGCAAATCGTGGACAAGTGTGTGTGGAAGCAAAAAAAACACACACACACACACACACACACACACAGCAGCAATTTGCCACACCAGACAGGCATTGAACAACACAGCAGCACAGCAGAGAAAGGAACAATTTGCCCTTTCTAAATAACCACTGCGCTCATCGTGTCTGGAAATTCCTGGTCACACACACACACACACAAAAAAAAAATAACATTTGCAGTATACAAGTCAATGCCAGAGAGACAGACAGAGAGAGAGAGAGAGAGAGAAGGAAGGGGGGGAAAAAAAATCAGGAGCAATGCATAGGGCTATTTTCAGTGCCACTCACTGCACAACATCAGCCCAGAACGCCGTTACCAGCGACAGGAATTATAGACGCACAAGTTTCAGTCCACAGCCCTTTTCTGCGCGTTACGGAAATTCAAGGGGTGGCATTTTGCCCACAGCGCAAATTGAACTCAACTGCGATCCGACTCGTTCGTTTCGGATGCAGCGTCAGAGCAATCTTAGTCAGGTCATTGAGATTTTTTTTACACACCCACACACACTCACACCCCACACACACCACCACCACTCACACACACACACACACCACCACTCACACACACACCCACACCATCACTCACACACACACACCACTCACACACACACCACCACTCACACACACCATCACTCACACCCACACACACACCACTCACACACACACCTCCACTCACACACACACACACCACCACACACACCCCCCCACACCATCACTCACACACACACCCACCACACACACACACCCACACACACACACCACCACACACACACCCACACACACCACCACTCACACACACACACACCACCACACACACCACCACTCACACACACACACCCACACACCACCACACACACCCACATACACACACACCACCACTCACACACACACCACCATTCACACCACCATACACACACCACCACTCACACACAAACCCCCCCACACACAAGCAATCAGTTGATGGAGGAGCCAGTCTGGTAGCCCATCTTCAGCTGACACTGCGTTAGAATTGTTTTCCCCTTCTCCTCCCTTTAAGACTCACACACACGCACACACACACACACACACACACACGAATGTTTTTTCTGGCTTTTTTTTTAAAAAAATGCAATATATATATATATATGGATACGTCTCAAAAAAAAAATAGTCGCGATCACCACAATCGGTTGCAAGTGACTGAATAAACCTGGAGAGAAACGCTCGGTCGAATGGGACTTGCAATTGCACTCGGTTCTGTCGGTGTCTGAGCAAAAATCACCTCTTTGCAATCTGCCAACCGGTTTGGATGCTGATGACAGCAGTGAGTCCCTCACTCACTCACTCACTCACTCACTCACTCTGACTGATGCCCTGATTTCTTCCCAATAAATGTGTGGCTGCAAACTGACAATTTCTCTTGAAAACAAGGGGGGAGTGAAAGGGGTTGGGGGATGGGGGGTGGGGGGGGGTGGGGGGAAACAAACCCCAAAAAAACCTTATAATCCGTTGCAGACTTTTTATTCAAGTAGATAAATGCTGTTAGAAAACTGCAAGATATCATGTTGGTGATGATAATTATTATAATACATAGATATGTATTTACTCACCGCTTTGTTCCCCCAAAAACACCAGTTTGAATTTTCTTAAAGGATTTCCAAAGTCTCCTCCGCCGGACATATTGGGGGGCGCGCAGTGGGGGGCGGTTAAGGTTTTTTTTTTTTTTTTTTTTTTGGGGGGGGGGGGGGGGGTCGGGGGTGAGATGTGTATAAAATAGCAAGTCTGAAGCCTCGCTGCTTCAACCTCAGAGGATTGCAGTGATTGCAAACTCCAGACTCCGCCACGTTTGGAGCCTCGTTTGAAAGACTTCAGCGCCTGCGCTTCGCCCCAACCCAACCCCACCACCAGCATTACGCAAAAGGGTGGTGTGTGTGTGTGTGTGTGTGTGGTGGGGGGGGAGAGGGTGGGGGGAGGGTGTGTTTGTGCGTGTGGTTTTTTTTTGAAGCAATGCAGAAATGCAAACCTTATTAAAGACCTGCCACACCGCCCGGGCGGAAAGCAGAGCCAGAAATCAATGCATTCCCATCGAAAACGGCGTTCCGTTGGTTTGCAATCGATTCCCCCAATGACACACAATTAGTTCGAGACCTCAAATAAATATTGCTGGTCCATACATGGATAACATGCACAACACCCGCGCACACCCACCCCCTTTCGCCCCTCCATTCAGTCCCGACATGAAACTGATGGTCTGCAAAGGACACGAAAAGCAACAGCAACAACTTGCCTTTATATAGATCCCTTCCACCCGGGGAAGGGCGCTCTGGGTTAAGGGTTATTAGGGCTTTAGCGTCTCGAAGCGCTTACATCGATGTGGTCCTTTTGCATGAAAATATTGAGTGCTTTACCCAAATATGCCGGGGTGGGGGCTCCTGCTCAGTTGCAGTGTACACGTCTGTATTTACATTGCAGCCAACGTTGAGCAAACCATAGGCCAATCTCTCTTGTGACTATATTTTATTCCGAAATTCAACTCTTTGATGCACGTACCTGATTCAACCCAAAGGCAAAAGACCCGGAATGGGGAATTGTACGTATAATCACAGGACTTGATCCTCGTTAACTGTTCAAAGTGAGCTATTTTTTTTGTTAAAGTACAAAAAGAATGCATCTATTAAAAAAAGACTTCACGTGTGTGTGTGTGTGGGGGGGGGGGGGGGGGAGGTATGGTACTTCTAGTTTGTGGTCAAACAACTAACAGTAGTTTAGAGAGAGGTGTTTGTGTAGGCGCTGTGCATTGCAGTTACTTTGGACAAAGATTCATTTCAGTGCTGTGATATACTCCCAGAAAAAAGCAATCCCTCTCCCAATCATGATGTCCAAAGCCAATGCCTCTTTACGTGTTCCCTTCAATCCCTCGACCGTTTTGTTGAAACTAACTGTCGCCCATCAATTCAGGCATTTACTGAAAGACCCCCACCCCCCCCCAAAAAAAAGTGTGTGCTGATGCAAATGCTAAATCCACAACAGCCAAGCAATGTACCTAACGCGTACCCATGCCTTGCAGGCAAAGAGCAGAGTTCAGTTAGGACCATGGACAGATCCTTCAGCCTCAGCGATTAGCTCCAACATACAAACCCTCCCCGAAGGTCATTGCCTCCATCTCCAGTCCCCAATCGCAATGTATTACGCAAATGTCTGGGACACTATATATATATATATGTATGTATATATATGTGTGTGTGTGTGTCATTTTAAATATATTAATTGCACGGATAATCCATTGCAGAGATATTGTAAGAAGGACCTGTGAAGCCCACAGACAATGTCCTGATGTTACTCCACTAAACTGTTGCTTTTGGCTCCTGGGCAAGTGTTGCACCGCAGGGGCTGTCCACCAACTCAAATTTCCTTCGTTCCCCATTGCTGATACCCACTGGGTATCGAGGCAGCGCGTTTCCTTTGGTAAATGATGTCTGTGTGTTTTTGCCTTTGGTGAAATCCCAGGAGGTCAGACTGCATCGCGCCTAATCCCTGAGATCTGTGCTGTCGCCGCCGGAGTTTCAGGGAGTGGCTCTCTCAGTGATAAAGGCAAATGGGAGCTCAGAAGATGCAGCATAAAAGCCACGGGATGGGGCTCAGCTGCCAGAGACCTGCTCCAAGAGTATTATTGCACACAGCACCAGCTTCAGAGGCTCAGGGTATAGGACGGCTCTCAGCAGATGAATTATCTAAATGTCGCGGATCTGCAAACTAAACTGATTAGTTGTGGGGGGCAGAGCATCCTCCCCTGTCGGCTCTATCTGGGAGGATTTAGAGCATCAATAGTTGCGACGAATGCAATAATTGGACATGCATTATTTAAGTGCAAAAGGCGTGTGTGTGTGCGTTGTGCGTTGTGTTGTGTGTTGTGTGTGTGTGTTGTGTGTTTAGTGAAACGCCCTGAATTCAGTATCAGAAACTCGGCTTTCCCCTCAAGACAGCAGCACAGATAAGAGCACCGCACATTTTAGGGAGGAATTGGTGCATCAAGTAATCCTGGGATGCAATATCTACCGGGAAAGCGAGCTGCAAAGGGCTGCACAGATCAATAAGTCATCTCTGCATTTCCTCCTTTGCAGGACCAGAGCTCTCTCCAGCTGTGCCCTGAGTGCAGTTGGCGCTGTAAGTGCTGGAAAACGGCGATCGACTTCCCTGAGATTCGCCCGTTTGATCACTTCTGTTTGGGCAACCGATCGCCCAGTGAATCTCATCTTCAGAAATGCGCATTTTTGAAGTGGTCCACAGGTTTTTTTTTTAAAGAAAGGCAGAGAAACGCGTTCGCTTGGTTCTGACACGCAGAAGCATCGAATGGTTTTTGCTTAATCTCTATTAAATGACCGACCATCTAAGACCTACCCTGAGCTCACCGTGACCTGTCCTCCAGCCTTTCCCTGAGTGTGAATTCGACTGCGACTGATCCGCGATTCCTTTTGTCTGTGGCGATTTGCAGACAACTCTACACGAATTACACCGAGGCTGCAATAACGAGCCCTCAATGATTAAAAGCGAGTCGAATTGATTTCTTTTTGCATATGCCCTGTAGTAGTGCAGTGTGCAGCTCCAGCATCAAGAATCATCTCGATTTTACTCCTCTCCTGTGCAATTCATTATTATGTAAGGACACTGCGTTAAAACTGTTCGGTGTTTTCTGATGTAATAAAAAAATACACAACGTTTACACGACGTACTAAATATTTAGGTTTTTTTTTTTCTGAACTGATTATTTGATTTGATTACTGTTGACCGAATAGATGAAAATCGGTTGTGATAATAGAAATGAATTAATTGAACTGCAGAGAGTTCTGATCACTATTCTCCCCCCACACACACATTCCTACAGGTACTGTAAGAAACTCAAAATACTTACGTGATCCACTTTCACACACTGTATAAGCAATAGCACTAGTGGTCTAAACGCAGGTTTGGGAAGGAGTTAAATTGAAAGGTTTAAGTACA